GAGAAGAGGCGATACCTAGACGGTCAGAGAACGGTTAGTATAAGAACGTATAGGGCGATACACTTTAGACATCATGTCATGGGGCATCGTGGTGAAATCAGGCGCTCGTCAAAATAACGAAATCGAAGATACCAGCATATTTCTGCCAGCTTTGCTGGGCTGGTTTGTTGGGGTTTATTTGTTTGTTTGTTGTTGTTTGTTTGTTTGTTTTTGGGGGGGTGAATTTTTGTTTAGCTCAACAGTTATAATATCCATTTCAAAATTACATTTCTGTGCGGATTGTTACTGAAAAACGTTTATTAAAGGCACAAGAAGGGTATATTTTCAGTTTCAAGACACTCTCAAGCATTGGAATATACGAAGCTTTGACCGCCATTTTCTCCCTTCTTTTAGCTCCGAATCTAGGCGAACCCACTCCAATTGCAAATATCTCGACTTCTATTCAAGATAGATGTGTATAATAATATACATTTTTTTTATCGAAAGATAGACAAATGAACAAGCTTTAAGCTGACGATACTAATAACTCCATATGTTCAAAAAATGACGAGCGCCTGATTCCACCACGTCGTGACACATAATATTATAGACGAAATTGTCAAAGACGGCGGAGAAAAGTGGCCGTCTAACATAGTGTCGGTAAAATAGAAGAAAAAAAAAACGCAAAGGAGAAATGGGATGTAGGTATAATTTGCACAGGTGGCTGACTATTGTGACCGTTAGAGCAGGTTCCTTGTTTCAGTAAAACATAATTTGGTCATATAAGTGCCGAAGATTAGACGTGATGTTACAAGAGAGTAACAAACACAAAAAAGAAGAAGGAGTGATGAGGACGATAGATGTCTTAAAGGAAAGAAGGAGCAGACCCCACAAGAGCACCCACCAACCACCCACAGAGCAGGTTCGACAGTATAGTGCAAAAAATCGTATTCGTTATACGGGGTGCCCACTACGGACGGAATCGGCCGATCGGGCTGATCGCCCGACTCGATCGCCTCAAAAACAAACGTGTTTGTTTTCAGTTTCAGGCGATCGAGTCGGGCTATCGGCCCGATTCAGCCGTAGTGGGCACCCCGTATTAGTATCCATTATAAGTACATTTCGTAATGAAACCTCATATTAAGTAAAATATCACACAAATATGGCACGTAAATATCATACGCGTAGGCGTGGGGAATGTTGAGTGTGGTATTTTATCATTGTTAGAGTATATCCTAGACTCAGTGGTCAAACGAACACACACACACACACACACACACACACACACACACACACACACACACACACAT